TCGAGAAGGGGAGGGTGCAGGCAGACCGATAAGGCATATATGGTGGTCCGGTTCGGACGACCGGGGGCAGAAAGTCAGTCGACGAATAAAGGGAGGGGGATAGCGAGTGGCAAAAGGGGAAGTGGAAGCCTGACCATCTTGGATAGGATGCGGGACGGAGATAGGGTCTCTACTCCAGGTGCGAGGCTCTGGGAAGATCTCGAAAGACGCCCCCTTGCGACTGTCTGAGCTTGTGCGTCTTGGGGCCGGGGTTGTGTTTGTGTGACTTCTGACTGTCGTTGCGGTCTATCCCTATTCCCTTTCTCGACTGTCTGCAGTCGATTAGGTATGCTGAGTGACTTTCTTGTGCTGAGAGAGAGCTTTGTTTTGTGTCTTGTGCTTGCGAGAGAGAGGATTTTTAGCAATGCTTGCGATGGATGATCTCCGACACCCAAAACCAAAATGCAAATGCGGAGTGGCACACTTTGGCGTGCAGATCCTGCGTCTCTCACTGCCCGAACAACAGACGCGGGTACCGCCGCAGGTCTGTTTAAAATTCTTTTCTCGCGCCGTCACGGCGACGAGCATAACCAGCTGCTGCCGACGAAGATCGAGGCCTTGGCTGGCCAGCGCGTCGTCGCTGTGTCGGCTGGAGAAGGCCACAACCTCGCCCTCACCGCCGACGGCGCCGTCTGGAGCTGGGGCTTTAGCGAAGATGGCCAGCTGGGCCACGGCGACGAGCAGCACCAGCATCTGCCCAAAAAGGTCGAGGCCTTGGCGGACAAGCGCGCTGTGGCCGCGCACAGCCTCGCCCTCACCGCCGACGGCGCTGTCTGGAGCTGGGGCGGTGGGAGGAGCGGCCGGTTGGGCCACGGCGACGTGCGTAACCAGCCGCTGCCGAAGAAGATCGAGGCCTTTGCTGGCCAGCGCGTCGTCGCTTTGGCGGCTGGAATGTCTCACAGCCTCGCCATCACCGCCGACGACGCCGCCTGGAGCTGGGGCTATGGAGGCTTTGGCAAGCTCGGCCACGGCGACCAGCAGCGCCAGCTGCTGCCCAAGAAGGTCGAGGCGTTGGCGAGTCGGCGCGTCGTCGCTGTGTTGGCTGCAGCCATGCATAGCCTCGCCATCACCGCCGACGGAGCTGTCTGGAGCTGGGGCGAGGGCCGCCACGGCTGCCTAGGCCACGGAGGGGACGTGTCGAATCAGCTGCTGCCCAAGAAGATCGAGGTGTGGTCGCGGGATTGAGAGGTCGCGGAAGCGGTATCGAATCGTCGGATAGTATCGTGTGGACGCCTTGCGCATGATGCATGAATGTGCCGTGGGGCACCTCTCGTCGGGCCGAAGCCCCGCCCAGACTCCCTTCACACTCTCTCTCTCCTAGAGTCCCGTGGCGTCGTCCTAGAGTCCGGAAACAAATAATTAAAAGTTGACTTTTGGCTGCGACCCGCCGCTGCAACGGCCCCCCCCGGGACGGACACTGCAGCAGCCGCTGTTGCACAGTGTACCAGCCGAAGCGTCCACGAGAGGAGTGGCTCCTCCTGAGCAGAGTCGAGACGTGATCCGTGCTGTTATGTATATGTACCGGCCCTATATGCACCCGTGTGTCCTGCCTATGCATTGGCAGGGTTAGACGTCGCGCGAATGCATAGTCCATAGCGTGTTCTTATGCAATACGTACGATGTTTTCGCCTTTATATGTCTCAGCAAACAGTGCAGCGCTGCCGATGTCGCATTGGCGCTATGAGCTACGCATTACGTATCCGTATTATGCATCACTCAGCCGAGCCTGCACGTGGGAGGGCTAATGGACTACGTATTATGTGTCTGAGGGCTTGTGCGTCTTGGGTCCGTGGTTGTGTTTTTGTGAACGGAATACCTAAACCGTGAACGGAAGGCCATCCTCGCGCACGGACGCTACAGGCGCGGGCGCGGGGGTGGAGGGTGCGTATGAGGCGGAGATGATGGAGGCGCTCGCCGCGTGCCGGCGTGCGGCGATTGAGCGCCTCCTCTCTCTCCGGCTGCGCGCCTGACCGGTGCGGCCTCACCGAGTCGGCGTCTAGCGCGCGCGATAAGGTTTTTGCTCGCCTTCCCTGGGACCCCGTGTTGCGTGACTCTGTGCGATTTCGGGCCCGGGGTTTTGCGTTCACGTGAACGGAAGAAATCGCATCATTGCCGCCGAGCGAACCGAACGGCGCTGCGTCGCTGCGCCCTGCCCTGCTGCTGCTGGGCGGCATGTACCTCCTCGCGACTGCCCTCGCTGCTGCTCCGCCGCGGCCGCTCCTCCCCACTGCGCACAGCGGCGTCTTCGCGGGAAGAATCCGGGCCGGCACGCCGGCGATGATGGTGCATTCGGTGAGAAACCGGCAGCAGCCCTTCAGCGGCTGGTCTCGCTCCACTCGCCAGACGTCGACGTCGACGACCACCTCGCAGTTCCTCGAGGCGCAGAAGCCTCGGTCGATGGCGGCCGCGTGGATCGACGGCGGCGTCCCGCGGTGGGTGACGCTGGTCGACGAGGTCCTCTTTGTCGTCGCGTCGGCCGCCTTCATCAAAGGCTCGCTCGACTTCTTCCCCGGCGTGCCGCTGCAGTCGTACATCGAGGGCATCAACCTCTTCTTCGCCGGCTCCGCCGTCTACACCGTCCTCGCAGTGTTTGCGGCGTACGAGATCGTCGAGGACGCAAAGCTGTCTGGCCGCGAGGCGCCGCCCGCCAAGCTCGTGGAGCAGGCGCTCTACCTGCTCGGCTCGGTCTTCTTCCTCTTGGGCACCGCAGAGTTCACGCCGCCCGCCGAGTCGTCGGCCGAGGATGCGGCCGTGAGCGTGAGCGTGCTCGGCCGCACCTTCTTCCTCGGCGCGGCAAGAGCTGCACCTGAGAGAGGGCGCAGACACGTCCACGACACGTCCTGGACACGTCCCGCAGGCTCGGCGGCCTCCATCCCCGAGGACACGCTCGCCATGGGGGAGCGAGCCTCCCCCGCCTCGCCTCCTCTCCCCGCGAGCCGCGCCCCTGCTCACACCCCCCTGCTCACACACCCCCCTGCTCACACCCCCTGCTCACACACCCCCTGCTCACACCCCCTGTTTCACACACACCCTGCTCACCCCCCCCCCCTGCTCACACCTCCTGCTCACACCCCCTGTCTCGCACACTGCTCACACCCCCCGCCCCTCCGGGGACCCCGTCTGGCCAGGACGAGCTCTTCATCCTCGGCTCCTTCCTCTTCTCGGTCGCCGCATTCATCTCGGCGATCGACGTCTCGGGAGAGAGCACCGGCGACGAGGTCTCGGTGCTGCAGCGACGCACCTCCGTCGCCGTCGCCTCGCTCTTCGAGCTCGGCGGCGTCGCCTTCATCATCGGCACGACCCGCCGCCGCCCAGTCGGGGGGGAGGAGCGCTGCTTCACGGCTAGGGAGTGCCGTGCGCCTAGGCACGCCCTGCTTCTACCCCGCCGGGCCGATGGGGATGAGCGCGTGCCCCGAGGGGACCGAGACGCTGACGAGAGTCGGCGCCGCGCTCTTCGTCGCCGGCTCCGTCTTTTACACCATCGGCCCCCTCCTCCTCCCTCCGCCCTCGAAGCCGCGACACGCCCCCGACACGCCCCCGACACGCCCCGCAGGCTCGCTCATCATCCTCGCCTTCGAGGCGTGGCTCACCTTCCGGGGAGACGAGCCGGGCCCCGACCCGGGCGCGGCGGGCGGCGTGGGCAGCCGGCAAGGAGGAGGGGCGGGGCTGCAGGCCGGCGTGCCGCCGACACGGTGACGGGTCAGCAATCAGAGACGGAGAGAGGAGGGCCGGGGGCCGCAGTAGTAGCCAGTACGATGTGGGCCGACAATTATGTCAACGTACACACACACACACACACACACACACACACACACACACACACACAGTGGAGAGATAGCATAACTGAATCAAAAGGCTGTGAATCGTCTCGACACCACGCACGACGTGCGGCGAGCGTGTCAAGTCACAAGAGCACGTTTTTACACACACGTACGACATAGGGCACAAACCCCCCAGTGCACGGGCGTCATGCTTTTATAATTACCCCACCTACCTAGACGCGTGTGTGTACACTATATGTTCGTCGGCTCTCTGCGCGGCTGCACCAACACTTTCGCTCTCTGCGCCTCTCTCACAACCTCCAAAATCACTCAAGTTGCGCATCCGGACTCTCTGTCGTTCTGGCCGTGCTTCCGGCCCCGCCGCCTCGCTCGCGCCCGGCCACCTCTGAAGGCTGCTCGCCGCGCCAAAAGCCGCCGCCGTACAGCCGGAGGAGGAGGAGGAGGAGGGCCTCGCTGCCCCCGATCGCTGCGCCGCCGTAGAGGAAGAGGGAGCCGACAGCTTCTTCCCCTCCGCCTCTGCTGCTCGACCCGCCGGGGCGGTGCGGGAGGAAGCGCTGCACAAAGGCGCCGGCGAAGAGGCCGGTGAGCAGCTGGGCGAGGGGGAGCGTGTTGTTGGCGAGGGCGATGACAGAGGCCTGTGGGGGGACGGGGCGGCGGACAGTGTGCGCGGGGGGGTGGGGCATGCTGCCGAGGAGAGCTGCCGCCTGCCGGCCAGCTGCAGTGCCCGAGGGATGGCCCTGTGCGAGGCTAGGGTCAGGGGTGGGAGTCAGGGCTAGTGGCCGGCTTGACCTTGTGCGACGCGATCGCGCTTCCGATCACCGCCTCACAGAGCGAGAAGATGGAGGCGCTGTGCGGCGCGAGGCTGAGGCCCGACAGCGCCGCCAGCACGAAGACGAGCCCAGGCCTCGCTCCGGGGGAGGGGGCGCCCCTCGTGCCGACGCAGCTCGCGACGAGGAGGAGCTCGCCCGCAGCCCACACCTGCTCGCAGCTGGAGCCGTGGAGAGGCCCACAGCTCGCCACGCGCAGCTGCCCGCACCCCTGCACGCCGTCGCGGTGCCGAAGCGGCGGCCGAGCAGCGGGAGGGCGAGCGAGGTGCAGATCGCGACGAGGGCCTGGAGAGCGAGGCTGCAGAAGGCGAGTCGCAGCCCGCCGGCCGGCAGAAGCAGCGGCACGTGCAGCGGGGTCGACACGCCGACCTGCGGACAGCGGACCGGAGAGCGTTGGCCTTCTCCCTCCCTCCTCTCGCCTCTGCCCCGGCTCGGCCGCCCACCCACTCGGTCCACCAGAAGGCCTGGCACTGGATGAGAGTCCAGCCGAGGAACTGGCACGCCAGCAGGAGGGCGAGCTGCGCGCGGCTGTGCCGAGGGAGGCGGCGAGCCTGGGCGGAGAGGAGCCAGGGGGCTGGGCGAGGGGGCGGGAGGGGGGAGGAGTGCCGCCGGTGAGCCGCGCGCCACAGACAAGAGCGTCGCAGCCTCCTCGCACACTGCAGTCCCGGCAGCCTCCTCCTCCTCCGTGCCTGCCGCCGGCGCCACGGCGGAGGGAGGGAGGGCGGAGGCGGCCTCGGAGGCGGCTGCGGGCAGCAGCGGCGCTGCGTGGCGCTCTCCCGTCGGCGCGTGCGAGTCGGCGGCGCCCGCGACGAGGGCGGCGGTGACGGCGCTGGCGAGGAAGAGCGTGCTCAGGTTGAGCAGCGCGACAAAGTGGCGGTAGGAGCCGTCGGGCTCGGCGCTCGCCCCCGCGGGAGCAGTGGCGCCGCGGGGCGAGAGGAGGGCCTCGAGCGGCGCACTCCCGGCGAGCAGCGCCAAGAGGCGGCCCGCCATCTGGAAGGCGGTGAAGTCTGCGTCGACGCTCTCCGCAGTCCTGCCGCCGCCGCCGAGGAGGTCGTGGGCGAGGGCGCGGCCTGGAACGAGGAGAAGGTCATGCGCACAGTCCATGGCGGTGAAGGCGGCGAAGACCGTCACCACCTCTGACTGGCGGCCCCAGCCGAGGCGGCCAGCCAGCTCATGCGACCACGCCACCACCTGCAGCCCGACCACGGCCAGCAGGCCGAGGAAGAGGAGGAAGGGCCGCCTCCGGCCGAAGCGAGAGGTGCAGCGGTCGCTGGCGTGGCCGACCGCTGGCTGCGCCACGAGGCCGATGCACGGGTTGAGAACATAGACCAGCCCCGCAATCGTCGCCGACAGGTTCAGGCCTCCGACGAGGTGCGGAATCATGACCGTCTCTCCAGCCGCCCATCCAAACTCGACTGCCGCGCCCGTGAGCAGCAGGCAGGCCCTGCGGAGCCGTCCGACGGCCATGGGCCGAGTGGAGGCCTGTGAGGGGCGGCAGTTGCAGGTCGCACGGCGCAGTAGCGTGGGGTCCGAGCGTACCACCAATTTCAGCACTCCACGCCGGTGTCGAGGGCGGCGAGTCCTCAGACAGTCTGACAGCGCGCGAGGATGTGTCGAACCCACGCCGGTGTCGGTGAGAGACTGTCTGCTATAGCCGCAGCCACTCCCAGCTGCTCGGTGTGAACAGAGTTCGTACACCGCTCCGCAAGACCGAGGCCCTCGGTGTTCACAGCGGAGTGGCTGGGGCTATACCAGACAGGGTGAGAGAGAGTTCTGTTTTGTTGAATTCTTTACCAAGTTGCAACCCTTGTTCCGCACTCGGCTGTGAACGCTGCTGTTTGCCGCCGGTTGAGCAGCACCCCGTCCCCATCCAGGTTGGTGGTTGCTGCCCCAGGTCCCGCACTATGTAGGTGCACTGCTTCAGCAGCGTGCACCTACTCGATCGACGATCCTGGTTGGTCGCTGGTGTCGGTTGCGCAACCTTTTTGCCGACCTCCGAGCCCAGATAGCGCGCCGTGTCTGATCCTCGTCGGCATCTGCTTCCGGGCCTGGCGGCCCGCCACAAGGACTTAGGTGAGAAGTGCCCGCCGAAACATCGGAACGACGCTGCTCCGCTCGACTTGGTTGGTTGCTGGCAGCACCCCAGCACCGGGGGGTCCTGAGAGCTGTTGGTTGGTGCTCTGTTCACAGCACAGTACGGAACAAGGGTTGCAACCTGGTAAAGAACTCGCTCGCAGGGCCAAGACGGCTATGGAAAAAGAAATAACTATTCTTGCCAGGTCGTGTCCTCTTTCTCCCTTCGACTCGGTGGTGACTATTGACGCCGGCTCGTGGTCTAGGATTTTCGCGTCTCTCCTTCGGGCGAAGAAGTCGTGGACTCCCGGTTCGTGAACAGCTGAGAGGCCGTCGAGTGTCGGGAGGTATATCTGGTCGATGCGGGTCGATGTTGTGCTTTTGGTTCCATCTCGGAGGGAGATGTTATGATGCGAGGTGTAGAAGGGGGCGGGTCCGAGCCATTCTCTCGCGACGTCGACTAGTCCGAAGTGCGTCATCACATCGGCAAGCTCGTTTGCCCCTCTGTTGTCGTATGGCGAGGCGGCGTCTGATCTTACGTCCAGCTGGACATCTTGAGGAACTGGTTGCACATCTTGATGAAAAACTGGCTGCCGCCGAGGTGGAGGGTCTGCAGGCCGGTGCCGCCCAGCCTGTCGGCCATGAAGTTCTTGTTCTTGAGGAGCCCGCCGGAGAGCTCCTGTTTTGCAGGGTCGAGGGCGGATATTTATCTCTGTTTCGCTAGGGGGGCGGTCGGGTTCGGTGGGGCGTCGCACCCGCTTGCCAGCGTTGGCTTCGGAGACCGAGATCGTGGGGGGGCCGTTGAGGTCGAGCCCGAAGTTGCGGTAGTGGTCGGTGATGTACTTGATATAGTAGTTGGGCTCCAGAGGCATGCCGTCGGGGATCATAAGGTAGTACCACGCGTGGCTCTTCTGCTTGCCGACGTTGGACTGGGCGATCTTGTGCATCTCGGTGGAGGCCGAGAGCGAAAGGCGGAGCATGACGAGCTTGTCCGGTTCGGAGGGCGGCCGAGCGCCGATGTTGATGATGGGGTTCTCCATGATCTTCTGGTCGAGGAAGGGGACGAGGGAGGCCTTGATGTCGACGGAGAAGTACTGGTGCCTCGTGTTGTAGGCGGCGACGATGTGCTTGCCCTTGATGGCGTCGTCCTTGATGTTCGGCCCCCCGTTCTGAATGACGATGTCCTTGATCGCGACGTGGAGCGAGTCGTCGAAGAAGCCGAGCTTGGTCGAGGTGAAGGCCTGTCCGCTGCTGTACTGGAACTTGATGACGCTGCCTTTGAACTGGGCGTAGTGGTCGTCCTCGAGCTTGGCGGAGTCAATGGTCACCTGATCGAGTCGGGGGGGCGGGTTGGGCTCTTTTTTCGGAGTTTTGTGTTCGCTGGGCGTGCTGGTGTATCTGGCTTGCGGTCCTGGTTTTGTCTTGGTTTGTTGCGGATTGGTTGCCGTTGGATTGGGCCTTGCCGAGACTTGTAGTTTCTTGTAGGTCCAGCTCGAGGTCGGATTTTGACTGTTGGTCCTCTCGGCCGCGTCCAGTACGCGGGCCGGAAATGGGTTGTGGGTGTGGGGGAGTGGATTTCTTTTCGTGTATGTGTGCGTGTGTGTGAGAGAGAGAGGGCTCTCTCGGGGCGTGGTCGTGTGTGTGGGTGGGGGGAGGCGGTCGTGAGGGGCGCTGGGGCTCGGGAGGGGGGCCTGGGGGTGGTCGAGCGCCGGTTCGTGTGGTGAAATAGTCGGTGCTGGCGGGGAGTGGCTGAGCTGGCAGGGCTGTCTGGTTTGATGTAGGATTGGTGTGCTGTGCTGCGCTGTCGCTTCGGAGGGAGGCGGGGGCGCGTGCGCTGGGGCGGCGTGCGTCGAGGTGCGAGTGGCGCGGGAGTGGGCGGGTGTTCTGGGGCCGGGGAGCGGTCGCGCTGACAGGAGCCTGAGATGCTGAATTGAGAGGTGGAGGCAATGCGGGGTTGCTGTGGGAAGGTGGGTGGCTGGGTGGGCAGGCGTCGGGGCGTGGTGGCTCTCTGTGCCCTCTCTGTGGCGGGGGGAGCGGTCTCGTGGAGGTTTGTATCGAGAAGTTCTGTGTGGTTGGAGTGTGTAGATCTGGGGATGTGTCGGTCTGGTCTGCGGTAGGTCTGCGCGGCGCGCACTCTCGGGGCCAGGTGGGCGTTCGGTGCTGCACGCCTGGTTGGAGGCGGCCCTTGGCGGCGGCGGGCCGCCCTGCCCCTGTCCTGCGGAGGGCCGGGGCGGCGGCGGGGCGACGGCGGGCGCAGCGGCAGCGGGCGCGGTCATTGCGCGCGGCCCAGAAAAAGAATTTTTTCTATCATCAAA